AGCAGCTAAGAAAACATTTTTGGGAAAACTGGAAAAATCTGACTATGACCAAGATATTACACAACATTTGGTAAATATTGTTAAGTTTTTTAAGGTATAATAATGGTATTGTGGTTATATAGAGAATGTCCTCATATTTAAGATGCATAATGAAATATTTAGGGGTGAACTGTCATGCTATCTGCAAGTTATGTGCAAACGGGTCAGCAAAAACTACATAGACACACATACTGATATAGGGCAAAATGACAAAAATCATTAAATCTAGAAGAGATCACATCCGATTCCCGATCATCTTATAGGCAGTTAGAAACAGTACTGCACTGAACACCATTGTGTGCGTGAATGAGATCTTCTAGAAATGCAATTTCTGAACGCTTTAGTAAGCCAGTCTTCAGTGTTATTGGCTAATGTCAGATTTGTCTTCAAAGTAGCTGGAACATCAGAATTAGTAATAGATGGGAATTTCCATTCCCTCACAGTATTATCCTAGTTGTTTGTTTTTGTGTTTTGATATTCTATGCATGTGAAATGGTGTCACATTTTAATTGATTATTTCCAGACTAACACATGTAGGATATGTTTATGGTATGTTTGAGCTTTTTCTCTGAGGGTGATTTTCTATTAATATCTTGTGCACATTTTTCAACTTGTCTTTTTTTACTGATATATATGAGTTTTTATATATTTGAGATACTAATTTTTCAGGGTTATATCTTCTAAGCTCCCTGACTTTTTACTTGTTTCTTGTTTGTGTCTTTCATTACATTTAAAAAATTTAGTGAAATCAATTTACCAATCTTTCCATTATGACTTGTACTCTCTGCCTTATTTTAGAAATTCTTCCTTAATCAATAAGAGAATAGGGATAATTTTTTCTTCCTAAGATACTAATACTTTTTTCTTATTTTCTTCTAAAACGTGGATTAGGAGCCTATTTTTTATAAAAACATTCAATTTTCTCAGCATCATTTACTGAAATATATAATATTCTTCCTCTGATTTTCCTAACATTTTATTATGAAAAGTTTTGGTGTACAGAAAACTAAAAATAACAATGATGGTCCTGTATACAACCA